CAAACACTTTGGAGCCCTTGTTCCGCTCAATAGCCGTTTTAACACGGTTTGTGTTAAATTGGCGTATATCGCGCTTTATGCTCTTTGAGATCTGTCTATTTAGCAGCCGAAACTGCTTCACATCTTCTGGAGAGTGTAGAGTCATGTCACGCCTTTCCTTCATAAGCTCAAGAGTGTGGTCCGAAAGTTTTCTGGACGAGCTTCTGCGGTGGGTCTTGAGGAACTTAGTACCCACCGTCTGAATAGCTTGCACGAACCCGTCATTCATATCGTCCACGCTACTCTCTAGGCAATCAAACCGGTTCTGGAGTTCGAGCTGAAAGTTTCCAACGTCTTGGATATGGACGGATGCTGGCCGGAGCGTAGACACTATCAGCCGACTGCGCTCGAGCTTGACGTCGATATTCAATGTGCCTCGAACAATTCGGTGATCGCTCCCGGTTTTAACCGCATTGATCACTGAGACATCATTGAATATTTGCTTTCGCGTCGACATGATAAAGTCTATCTCGTTCTTTGTAGCACCGTCTGGGCTCATCCAGGTCCACTTCCGTTGCTCTTGCTTCCTGAAGAAGGAATTCATCATAAAGAGTCCCTCCTTCTCCATGAAGCCTGCCAGTAAGTGTCCCCGGTGGTTGCGCTGTCCATAACCAAAGTTACCTACTCGCAGCTCGTCTCCGTCCCGTTTGCCCAGTTTCGCGTTGAAGTCCCCCATGACAATGGTGTAGAAGGTTTTGGAACTATGTATGGCTCGTGAGATATCCTCATACATAGTTTCAACCTCCTCGTCGGAGTGTGTCGAAGTCGGTGCGTAGACCTGTATGACCTTCAGCGAATACCGTTTGGTTATTCTGAGTATCAGGTACGCAACCCTAGACGACACACTCTCGATCTTCACCACATTGTTCACGAGGGACTTGTGGACGATAAACCCGACACCACCCTGTGACTGTTGGTCGCCTTCCCGGAAGAAGAACAAGTTGCCGGACTTAAGGGTCATCGTGTCCTCCCCCTGTCTTCGGACTTCGGATAACCCTATAACGTCCCAGCGCAACTTGCTCAATTCTTCTTCCAGCTCCACGATCCTCTCGTCCGTCCGCAGTGTGCGCGTGTTCAACGTTGCCAGGGCCAAAGGTCGTCGTTTGTGGTAGCCGGATCTAAACCGGGGATTCTTCGCACCCCCTGCCCCGCCGTCGCCCTGGTCGCTACCGTAACCAGAAACGGCGGGGCCGCCGGGTACTAGGGGCCGTGGTTTACTTGCAGCAATCATTGGGGGGAGTTTGCCATAATCGCCACGCTTGGCAGGCGGGTTGGCGATCGCAGTAAGTTCCACCGTACGTAGGGACGCTGCTGCCCGTCCTCCGGTGGTCTGGGCGCAGTTTAACGACGTGCCCGGGTCAGAGTCATAAAGACTCATTGATTAATAAATATATATTAAACTAACTCCCGCCCGCGACTTGGTCTGCGTGGAAATGATAAAAATGTGTTCTTCCAGACTATCCTCTACATGTAGCATACTTCTCTATGCTAAATTTTATCTAATTCCGTTCAGCCGTTTAGGCTACAAACTCTAACAAACATTCATCCATCTAAACTTTCGCATTTATAATATAACTAGCTTTCCCCCGCAATTTCGTTCGCGTGAAATTAAAAGAAACAAAAGTGAATAGCCTATGTGTTCTTCCAGACTATGTTCTACATCTATACCATATTACATCGAAATTCGTTTAGCAGTTTAGGCTACAAACTCTAACGAAAATTCATCTATCCATCTAAAGTCAGCTTTCGCATTTATAATGTTAGGACGATTATTATCTTTTTTAAATAAGGTCGTAGTCTACATAAGCAGTAGGCTTTCATAATTAATTAAATATTAATTAAATGTTCATTTCAAAATAGCAAGCTTTATTTTCTACAGAACTACTTTGGTAATGGAGTTTTAAATGAATGGAATAAAAGTTTTTATTCCTGACTGCACTATTTTAAATATGCACCATTATATAGACTCATGTCTTATAAGTCTATTGCGTCTATTTGACTTGACTAATGTAACATTTTCATTTAGTTCTGAATTTCATTAGTTACCCCGAGGACTCCCTAGTTATCGACTAATTAAATTGCGTCCTTTCATAGCTTACTTAGAGACAAAATCGTAGAGCTAGCTGTAACTATGCTCATACCTTCACCAATCACACAACTGTTCACTCGTAGTCTCGCTTTGAATCCAATAAGCTTATATAGGGGCACATAATTCGAATTTTAGTTGTGCAAACAGTTGAATTTGCAGCGAAACAATCGACAGTCGTACAACTGTTGTGCGATAGTTTAGTCAGAGGTGTGCGCCGCTTTTAGGAATAATTTTCATTTTATTACAGTTAATATCCCTGGCAGTCACTTGATGTGATGGCGTTAGGGCGCGTTTGGGCGACCGCCCAGGGCGAAACAGTAATGCGAATTGCTCTCATACGTACAGCCCAGGGCGCTAGTAGGGCTAAACCTTACTTCTTACTAATGAAAATGAGAAATTTAGATGGATGAATGTATGTTAGAGTTTGTCGCCCAAGCTGCTAAGCTGATCTTGTTAATTTTAGTTCAAATGCAGAGAATAATCTGGATGAAAACACGGCACTTTTGATCTCGGAAATATTATATGTTTTTTTTTTTTGTATAACTTGATTATTCTGCGACGGTTAAAACATCTAGTATTGAATTTATCACAGATATAAAACAAAGTCTGGAGTAACATATAGGGTAATGTTGATCTCTGAAAAATGTCTAGTTCCCGAGGGATACGTAGTATTTTATAGTTTGTATGTTTTTAAATATCGTGCAAACGAAGTCACGGCAACTACTAGTAACAAATACATTGTAAACAGTAACTCATTTCGTTCAGTTATAAAACTTTTCCTATTCATCCGAATGGTATTCATTTCGGAAACATATCGGAGAACAGCTGCGTTATATTACTTGAAGGATTTATTGAACACTTTTTGAATATCCTGCAAGTTTTCGATGTTTGTTTTATTCCATCTTTTTACTAAGATTTTGTCATTAAGGGAATAATTACGCCCTTATTCTGCAATTTCTAAGACGACAGAAAATAAGCATTTTCCTGGGGGTGCAGCACGAAAATTAGCGTGTAAGTTCGTAATGTCGTGTAGTACATTTAGCGGTACATATAAAACCTAGTAATTTACACCTCATATAGCGCCCTCTACGCAACATTTTAATAGCTGATTCCATGATTTGTTAAACATCCGTTTGGTGCTGTTTGCATATTTGAGCTAAAATGCATTTAAAACATAATCTAAGTTTTTGTGGAACGACCGTAAGTTTACGTTATTTAGGCCAAAATTATAAGCAATGTAGAAATAATAAGAATAAATATTTTCCTTTAATTTATATTTTATATGAAAAGCAAAGAAACTGAGTACTAACGAGCGAAATCTTAATTTGTTGCAGAAAGTTTAATTGTAATTTAGTGGACAGTAATTAAGAAGAAAAACGACACAACTTTTGCTGAAGGAGGTTTTTTTAATGAAATTAATTAGCGGACAGAAGTAGAACATAAAACGTATAGAAGCGCCAATAGGGAAATGGTTAATGTACGTTCAGGTGGTCCAGGGTTCGAATCTTGCCAGTAACATAAGTCTAGAGCTTAGTTGAAATAATACAAGAAATAATATTATAAAGAGGAAAGATTTGTATTTTTGTATGTATTGAAATAACTCAAAAACTACTGGGCCGCTTTCTTACAATCTTTCACCATTAGAAAGCTACGTTACTGAGTAACATATGGTAGGCTACGTGTCTTATAAGTTTTGCATCACGCAGGCGCAATCGCGAGCAGCAGCTAGTTAATATTAATATGCTATGATTACAAACATGTAATCTAAACGAACTGATGGGTTTAAACAAGTTAAGTGTCATCACAGCGGCGCCGTTTATGTGCAAAGATCACTTCGCTATTTCAGCGAATTCAGATGGATGCTCGTTTACCATCTTATGATATTAATGGTACATTGCCTCTAAATAACGAAAAATGTTGCCGTTACGAATACGTTTTCGGAACTGTCACGTGATAGACCCTAGATTTGTCGTGAATGTTTTTAATATAATTCATCCCATAATTGAAAGATTCTTTAGTGTATTTCCAATATGAAATACTTGACTTTGTGTCTATTTTATCTCTTGGCTCGTAGTTCTCGAAGTAATTATTTTCAGTCTACATTTTACGAGCAAGACAGATTAGGTTAACAGCTAATATTCCTAATAGCGTTTCGTCACATGCGTCAGATGTCGCTGGACCCTTTACGCTTGAGGTCCGGTTAGGGATGTCATAACTTACCAAAACGCCAACATAGTACTTGTTAAAGCAATTGATAACATCTGCTGCCCCTAATATTGTGTTTTGTTTTTCCTTATTAGTCTACTTCTGTAATTCACTGGAATTAGGAAAATTTTATTTGTAGGCAGTGGGGCTGAGACGGATTATTCCCAACCGTCACGCCGCTCTGTCCCCACGTGAAAATAAAAAGTTTTATCCGTCCCACCTTTTAGTTCCACCATCACCAATAAGGTAACAGATGGAACCGTTATGAAAAAAAACATACAGACGACTTGAGTATCGCCTTCTTTTGGGAAGTCAGACAATAAAATAAGTTCCAGCCGTCCCTTCGTCGCAAATGTTGGGACGGATAAAGCTTTTTATTGTCATTGGTCTTCACGTGGGGACAGAGCGGGGTGACGGTTGGGAATAATCCGCAGAGACAAGATTTTACTGAATACAATCTCTTAGGTTTGTCGTTTCCGTAGTTGCATAAATATAAAACGACTTGACCGATTTAAAAGTGTTCTTTGGCGTTTAGGAAATATGTCTTTGCTGTTTTTGTTTTAATTGAGATAATTTAAAAAAGAAAATTAAACTTTAGTTAAGAATCCCTTATCAGGAGTTCTACATTGAAATCCGTTTAATGATTTAACAAATTCTATTGTTACAGTACCAAAAGTTGAAATAGTCGACGAAAGGGGGAAGCCTCTACAGGACAAATTCTATAAAGAAGGGTCCATTATTGAACTTCGATGCGTCGTCAGCGAGGTGCCGGAACCATCGAGACAAGTCAACTGGAAACACGGCAGTAGATTGTTGAACTATGACACCAAGCGTGGAGGAGTCAGGTAAGATATTTTTTTTGGCAACTATGGACAACAACAACTTGGTGAACTATGTAAATCTGGCTATTTTTATTCCGCATACGGCGAAATAGATGGCGCTAATCTCATGTTTCATAATATAGCCAATTTGTCATGTGTAAAGATCGTCAGATAAACTATAAAAGGTAAATCAACCTTACCAAATATAAAAAAATAGCAAACAAATAAAGTACCTGATAACGTAAACATGTTTTTATTAATTAAATAGAAAATTAAGTAAAGTGTAATATAAGAGTGAATTTAGTACTAAAAACAATGGAAGTAAATACAGTATGCTTGACAATTGTAAAACTCGTAAAAACGTATTGAATACGCGCCTAGCACATCTGCTACGATTTCCACTCGTTAAAACGTCGTACCCGAGCCGTTCTCCTTTAATTTACACAAACAAATTAAGCGAATAAAATTCATGGAGTGTTAACAACGCTTATTTGTGCGAATCGCTGAAAAGATTTATAAGGGGCTTGGAGTAATTAACTTTAAGACAATTTAAACACGGAGCTTACTTTCTTACAGCTTCCCCTGTGTGCAATAAAGTGGAAAAAATCGCTTGATTTACTGTAGTAAAGAAATAGAAGGAAAAAACAATCGGAAATTGGTGTTTATATTGTATCAATTAAAACAAATTTTAAATACAAAAAGTAGCATTGATAGTTAAACACAGTGATATTAATTTAACTCTTTTTAGAATAAAAATATAAAACTAGTTCGTCTACGTGGAATTTAAAAAAAACAAATATGGGTAGCAATGTGCCCTTCATAACTACCCCCTACATCTATGCCAAATTTTATCGAGATCTGTTTAGCAGTTTAGGCTACAAACTCAAACAAACATCTTCTAAACTTTTGCATTTATAATATCATAAGATACAGAGATTTGTAACAATACTATACAATGATACACCAACGTGAACGTTTAATTACTTACGATTTAATCCAAGCATTGAGTAAAATCGTGTACAAGGATTATCGCTTCTGACGAGGGTAAGCAATCGGGTTTAAAAGCGTTGAGCGGAAAATGTCCGAGAAGTTTCGCTTATTGGACTCTCGTCTGAAGTCAAGCCTCGACTGAGAACAATGTTAATTAAAGAAATGCTTTATTGCGGGAATAGTTTTAGAGAATTGTTTAATAATTTAATGATTTTTACATTAATTTTATCACTAAAAAGAATTCTCTAGTAACATCAATTTGAACATGCATCTATTACAAAATTGAGGGAAATTGGCTTGCAGTCCACTTGCGAATACGAACGTATTTATTAAAAGCCTTAAAGCTTAACCACTAATAACTAGCTGTTGCTCACGACTTCGCCCTCGTGAAAAGTAAAAAACAATAACAAAATATAGCCTATGTTACTCACTGATAAAGTAGCTTTTGAATGGTGAAAGAATCTTTAAAATCCGCCCAGTAGTTTTTGAGTTATTTCATAAACAAAAATACAAATCTTTCCTCTTTATAATACGAGTATTAGGCATAGATAAGAAAATCAAACCAGCCAGTTACAAGTCTACCATATATTGTTCTATAACAATAGCTACTAATTCGATACTCTTATTAGTTAGTCGTTTATATGTACGTTTTATTTAATGATATTTTATTCAACAGTGTGAAGACGGAGACTTTGCCCAACGGCGCTCTATCTCGGCTCTACATCGCCAATGCTAATAGAAAAGATTCCGGCAACTACACCTGCACGTTGGCAGACTTTGCAGCGACTGCCGTTTCCGTACACGTGCTAAGAGGTATAAACATTTATACATAGCACTTCAGGTCTTATCTATACTATTATATCTACACTAATATAATAAAGCGTAAACACACACAGTCACACACAGTCTCGAAATAGGATGCCGCATAGAACAAGCCCGGAACGCTTTTTTCAGACTTAGGACACTTCTGTGCAACAAAAAGCTGAACATCGAGCTACGGATGCGGCTAGCAAGTTGTTATGTTTTCTCCATTCTCCTGTACGGCGTTGAAGCGTGGACAGAAGAACAGAATCGATGTGCAAAAAAGTCGAAGCCTTCGAAATGTGGGTATACAGGAGAATGTTAAGGATATCCTGGAGAGACAAAATTAAAAATGTAACCGTGTTAGAACGCATGAAGAAGAAGACAGATGTGATATATACAGTTAAGAAAAGAAAGCTGCAGTACCTAGGTCACATAATGCGAAATGCCAAATACGAATTACTGCAGCTCATCGTACAAGGCAAGATCCACGGAAAGCGAAGCGTAGGTCGAAGAAGAACGTCCTGGCTCAAAAACCTACGCCAGTGGTATGGAAAGAGCACCCGTTCACTCTTCAGAGCCGCGGTGTCAAGAACGAAAGTCGCCCTAATGATCGCCGAACTTCGGAAGAAGATGGCACTTTAAGAAGAAGAAGAAGAAACACACACTTCTTTGTTGCCTTAGATGTCAGCAATCACAACATGTTTTTGAATCACTCTCTCTTTAATAAAAAGCCCTACACTTACGTCACGTTTTAGGCTATATATTTTTAAGCTATTAGACTTAGCGGGAAAATAAATTGGAAAAACCTTCATGTGAAGGATGTGAAGAAATAAAATTGCGATGGTATGATAATTGGTATCCAATGTCAAAGACCTTCGTTGTCATTTGCAATTGTGAATTTGACAAATGTAAACAGTTAATATAGTTTTAATAATTTCATGTGGATGAAGCCGCACGGAAACAGCTCGTCACAATATTGTTGAGAACGTAAAATCTCTCCCACTCTCTGAAGCTTTGTAATTTAGATATACGAAATCGATATTCATAAATTTCGAATCCGATCAAATATTCAATGGTATATTCCCGTGTACTGTAATTATTCAAATCCTTGTCATCTTACAGGTGAGAACCCTCTAGCGATGCAACGCGGCGGTGTATCCAACGTGACACATTCATTGCGCGCTCTGCTCCTCGCGTACGTCAGCTGACAGATTGCCGGCGCGTTATGGTCACGCGCCATTTTGTAAAAATGTTATTGAAGTCGTTTCGTAGTAATATGGTGTACCCCGTCTAAATTTAAATTAAGTCGAACATCTTCACTAATTAAGATGTGACCAGTATAAGTTAAGCCATAGCTTATGAGTGTAAACATGTGAATCAAGAACCTTTGGACGATGGCTGATTTTAGTTGTATATTCAGAGATTAAAATATATATATAGAGTAGGCATAGTTGACGCTTCACTTGAAATATTTAGTTTACTTTATAATAAAAGATGGAGTTATAATTTTGTAAAATGTTACATGTTAATACAAGAACACGAAATTGTGTACTAAACTTGACAACTAACATAGTACCTTTCAAAAAAAGTACCGGTGAATGTTGACTATGCCTAGTCTATTTTTTAATGTCTTTGTGTATATTCAATGCGATTACAAACCCCCTCAATTCTGCTATAATCGACAAACTGCAACTAGAATTGCATATAATTTAAATACCATGTTACTATCGTTATTTCACCTATCATACTAACATTACAAATGCGAAAGTTTAGATGGATGGATGTTTGTTAGAGTTTGTAGCCTAAACGACTGAACGGATTTCTATGCAATTTGGTACAGATGTAGACGATAGACTGGAAGAACACATAGGCTACTCACTTTTGTTTCTTTTTAATTCCGGACGGAGTCGCGGGCGTAAGCTAGTGAAAAATAAATAGAAAAAGTACATGATCATAGTACAAATATGCAAATGGACAAATACATAATTATTTATGTTCAATGACAATCAAACTAATGTTAAACGACTACAGAATTGGGGGCATATTCTTTTTGTTAACTAAACAGTTCAAATGATCGTCTGAATATTAAAGATTTAAGGCCTGTCCCACCAAATTTTAAATTATCTGATAACAATATAACGTGTAAAATATGTGATGGAAATATCGGATTTTGTTACCTTATCTGATATTGACGTCATTAGCGATTTGAGCCTCTATCAGTCAGTGACACACCACCAGTGGACAGGCCCTTGAACTTCCTTCCTTGCTCTAGGGTTGTACAGGGAGGTATTAAGTAATAATTTACTATTTACTTTAATAAATAGATTAAATGAAATGTTAATTTGTCGAATGAAGGACAGTTTTATACTAAAATTTGCTCAATTTCTTTCCTGATATGTTAATTACATAGATATATAGTCTATAGATAGTATTTCTTACATGTTTAAATAGTCGAGAGTTCAATTTCTAAGTGTTATTTTAAACCATAAATACTGACCTCCAAGGTTTATTTTCGCTTGCATTTTCATAGATTATGTAACTTTTTTTAATACATTTCTATATTTATTTATTTAGATCATGCGAATATAAAACAAGCGACAACTTTGCATATCACATTGTATATTTGTATTGTCATTTTAAAATTTTTGGTTGTAATCGAATTTTGATTTGTATAGAGCATATCTTCAAAATTAATTGAAACCCATAAGGTAGAATATATTTATTTTCTTCATTTGCATATGCTTTATACTTTTTTAGTCGAATTCAATGGAAATGAGAAATGACAACAAACTTTTTATATAATATAAGGTGTCAAATGAGCAAGCGGCCACTTGAATCCACCGAAATAGAAAGCGACCGCTGCCCATAAACATCCGCAATTGCAGATGCGTTGCCTACCCTTCATTGATGGAGGAGGAGACGCACATAAAGAGGAAATTTTCCCTTCCTATGCGTCTCCTCCACCGTCAAATCCACTTTTCCTTTCCTCTTAAGAAAAGGGTGGAAAGGGAAAGGGACTAAAACTAGGCCTCCAGCACCACACTCATCAGACGAAACGCGGAATTGCTTCCACTCCACGCCTGTTTCCTGTGTGGTTATGGTATTACACCGGGCGAGCCGGCCCATTCGTGCGAAGATGTTAAAGCGGGCTCTACCACTATTAATTAACTAAACAAATAAACAATATTACCTTTATAAGATTACAGTTTCACACACTTATTAGAACGGACTATTTATGTTAATTTTGACACTAAAACTTTATAAAATAACAAACTTACTAATATTGTAAATGCAGAAGTTGAGATGAATGATTGTTCGATTTTGTGGATAATTCCCAACCGTCACCACTCTCTGTCCCCACGTGGAGATAGATGATAATAGAAAGTTTCATTTGTCCCACCTTTTAGGACGAGTAGACGGTTGGAACTTATTTTATTTTAAAACGATTCCATCTGTCACCTCATTGGCGATTTTGGGACTAAATGGAGGGACGGTTGAATGTTTATTCTCACGAGGGGACAGAGCGGGGTGACGGTTGGGAATAATCCGATTTTGGAGCCTAAACGGCTGTACGGATCTCTATGTAATTTGGCATAGACAGAGGTTAGTCTGGAAGAGCACATAGGTTACTTTAGGTTTTTAATGCCACGCGTACAGTCGTTATAAGACAACATGTGTATAATTTCTTATTTCCATTAAATTTATACGTTTAATATGATACCAATTGTATCATACAAGACACAAAGACTACATTGTCCTTGAAAATAATAGATATACGTCACATGGAAATTAATATCACAACTACAATATTACTATAAGTAAATTAATGTTATGTAAATAAATAAATCAAATCCATTAAATCTAATTAAATGTAAAATAGTTAATATGAATGCATCCAGGGGAACTTTAATAATAAGCGGACGCACACCTTTGACTAAACTATCGCACAACTGATGTGCGATTGTCGATTGTTTCGCAGCCAATTCAACTGTTTTGCACAAGTAAAAATCGAGTAGTGTGCGCACCTCCATATAAGCTCATAGGAATCAAAGCGAGAGTAAACAATTGTGCGATAGTTGAGTCAAATTAACAAAAACTTTATAAATACTATGAATGTATTGACAAGATTTTTAAATTAAAACATAGGTACCACTGCTATATTCTGGACAGGCCATAAGCTGTATTTTTTTGTGCCTATACGACGTTAGCCATTTTTACGGTGATGGTAATGGTGACAGGAACTCGAACGAAAAATTGAGATCAGATTTTTAGCATATAAAACCAAAATGAACTGTCAATAATTTCAAATGGCATTTTCAATTTAGTGAAACATTAAAAAACCCAACTATAGACTTGTCCAGTATATAGCCGTTTAACTTTAAGTTAACTCAGAGTTAACTTATAAACTTGTGAATCAAATCCGACACCTTCAAGTCCAACCAATGTATAACTTTCATTTAAGTTAAGGATTCACTCGTAATCGTATTATTTAAGACTTGTAAATATCTTTATAGCTAATATTAATTGTTAATTTGTTAAATCTTGTTAAGGAGAGACGGTCTAACTTAATATTTAATATGAAATGTAAGGGAATGTGAACAATTTATTGGGAAATAAATATTAAATGCATCTTAGAATTGTGTTTTAATTTCCATTTTGAATCGACTTTTAAAATAACGCGGTAAACGTCTAAGACATGTTTGGGCAACCTTTAGCATGTTGAGGGCCAAACTTTAGCAAATACATTCGCGAGCTGCAACATAAAGGATTTGATGTATGCCACCTCACTGTCACTCCCTGAGTACCTAACGTATTTTTTTTATTTTTTCCAAATATCTTGCGGGCGGGATCATATCTTACAGCTAGCAGGGTACGGCCCGAGGGCCGGTTGTTTCCCATATATGCTCTTAGAGATAATATGCGCTTAGAATGTCATCAGATGATAAGATTTCCGTTTTTTTTTAACAGTACAATTTGTTTTTTTCTTATCGTTATAAGTCTATATTACATAAGGACATTACTGGTAACTGCCACTATTGACTTATCTCCTAGCCTTGTCACTAGCATGTAGGGTTGTCACGTATGTGCTCTGAAATTATGGACTTTAATGCATGGTTTGTTAACGATGGCCTATTTTTATGTTCGATTTGTTATATGTTTGTTCACCACCAATGCGAAACAGCACCGGTTTTTGTTATTTTTTTAAGGCTCTTAGTTTTAATAAATACACGATCACCATGAATGGTTAAATTAACAAGTCGCCGACCAACTATGACATAAAACAAACAAGTTTTCGTGACAAGACATTTTTTTATTTAAATAAAATCTTGTTGTAACATTGTTATCTTAACATTGCATAATCTATACTATTATAATAAAGCGTAAACACACAATTCTTTGTTGCCTAAGATGTCAGCAATTACAGCATATTTTTGAATAATCCTTTTTTTCAATAAAAAGCCCTACACTTACGTCACGCTTTAGGTTATATATTTTCACGCCATTAAACTTAGGGGGTAAATATTTTGGATTGAATCTTTCCCATAGGTCTCTTGACCATAAGTTGCTGCCAACATCAAGGAAGCAAGATTGTCAAGGTTTGTCATGTCATGTCATTTTGACATTTGTTATTGATAATTTGACACATGGAAACAAAAAAATAAAATTTTCATAATTTTATGCGATGTCGAATGGGAACAGCTAATCATAAATAGTGGTAGCTAAGTATTATACAAGGTAGTTCTTGTCAAAACGTTGACGTACTGTCGAATCTAATTAAAATGGGAAATTGTAGACATTTCACTACCTGAAAGTGTCATTTGTTCTCTACTAGTTTTCGCCCGCGTCTCCATCCGCGTTGAATTAAAAAGAAACAAATGTAAGTAGCCTAAGGATTCTTACACCCTGCTCTAGATTTTTGCCAAATTTTATCGTGACCCGCTCCGCAGTTTAACAAACACCGAGGACATTTACGTTATTAAATTGATGATACAAATATGATGATTAGCAAAACCCGAATTCCGCAGTCCTGTCTTCTATAAATCCGACCTTGTGTTTTGTCTAAAATAACCTAAAACTCGATTACTATATTTTTCGTAAAGAGTAGGTATGACATTATTTAAATCTTTCTACAAATAGCAACTGTAGGGGTATACATTTAACAAAGAGCTTCTCCGATAGTAAATATTACAGAGATTGGCATCATTTGATAACCACAACATAAAATACGACAATCATTCTTATTTTGCTAACTTCAAATGTATAAATAAAATACTCATGAATTAATCTCGTTAGTTCACACTCAGCATCTGTCATCTAACCATGACACCTATAGTGTTGTATTTTATATTTCTTTTATTTCCGTATATCGAATCAGCTCGTATTCTGGCGGTGTTTCCATTTCCTTCTATAAGTCATCAAGTGGTCTTCCGCCCTCTCACACATGAGTTAGCAAGACGAGGACATGACGTTACAGTTATTACAACCGATCCAGCCTTCCCGAAAGGACAAGCCCCAAAAACCTTAACAGAAATCGACATCCACGATCTGTCATATTCAAGATGGAATAAACTTCTTTCAAACATAGGTGACGGAGTTATAGATTTTACAAAACTCCAAGATATGATGAAAACATTCATATTTTCCGTATACGAAGAACAAGTGAAAACGGAAAGTGTACAGAAGTTGTTAACAGACAAAAATGAACATTTCGATTTGTTACTAGTCGAAGCCAGTTTGAGATGTACGCTGGGATTTTCGCACGTATTCAAGGCTCCTGTGATTCAAATCAGTTCTTTTGGTGCGTTTGTTGACAATCATCATATAATGGGTACACCAATTCATCCATTACTTTACCCGTCAATATTCAGAGATAGATTTTACAATTTGACATTGTGGGAGAAAATAATACAATTAAAGAAGGAATGGGATTTATGGAGATTGGTTGCAAATCATGACATGGATGATGAGTTATACAAGAGATTATTTGGTCCGGATATTCCATCGCTTGATGAGTTATACAACAATGTACAAATGTTGTTCTTGAACATGCATCCCATTTGGGAGAACAATCGTCCAGTGCCTCCTGGAGTTATATATATGGGTGGACTTCATCAGAACCCGGAAAAAGAATTGCCTAAGGTATTTATTTCGTAAATTCTAATAATAATTCGTTAACTTATCTAACATTAATTTTTAACAAAATATTAAAAATAGTTCAAAATGAAATTTTCAATCTTACTCTTATTCCAAAATTGTATGTATTATATAAGGTTTCGAGTAACAGTCAGACAGCATATTGGAATGAAACTAAAATCAGTAGAAAACGGGACGTTTTCTATTTTAAATGTTATAAATTGACCACTTTTAGCTGTGATAATCGCTATCTGAGTGAAGAGCATCTCTTTAGAAAATATTTGCTGTATAATTTAATTGAATCAAATAGTTTGTTACAGGATTTAAAGTCGTACCTCGATTCCTCTAAGAATGGAGTTATTTACTTTAGTCTTGGCACAAACGTCAAACCATCAAATCTGCCATCGAGGAAGTTAGAGGCAATTTTAAATGTATTCACAAGATTACCTTATGATGAGTTGTGGAAATGGGACAATAATGATTTACCAGGTAGACCACGTAATATAAAAATATCAAAATGGCTCCCACAGTCTGATTTACTGAGTAAGTATACATTGAACAAATACAACGTTTTCTTCACACAAGAAGAACAATAAAATTAAATAGTCGCATTGCTTCCTCATTTAATCTTAAGAATATTTTAAATGCGAAAGTTGACATGGATGGATGTTTGTTAGAGTTTGCAGCCTAAATTGCTGAACAGATCTCAAAGGATTTTGGCATAGACGCGGTGGATCGTGTGGAAGAACACATATAGGCATATAGCATATGTGTTCTTCCACACTATCCTTTAAACTGTTTGATCACATAGAGTCAATAAGTTATAATGTTAAGATATTTTGTTTCAGGACATCCGAAAATAAAATTGTTCATAACTCAAGGTGGTCTACAGTCAACAGACGAGGCGATAACTGCTGGAGTACCACTCATTGGTATACCAATGCTGGGTGACCAGTGGTATAACGTCGAGAAATATATTCACCACAAAATTGGAGCGAAGCTTGATATGGATGACCTGACGGAAGACAAGTTAGAAGCCGCAATAGTAAATGTTATTAACGACAAAAGGTATGGTTGCATATTTTAATGCACTTTTATTTCAGAATACCAAATCAGTTACGAAAGAAAATAAAATAAAAATGTAGTTAAGTGCTTTTGTTGAGCCTTCGCGGGTGAGACGATCAAAAATTCAAAACTAGCCTAAAAGGTATTGATTTTTACGAACGAACTAGTGCTTTAATAACACGTTAATGCCCTAAAATATATCACGACATTCTTTCATTGAGCACATGTTTGCACCGATAATTCTTTTTGTACTTGTTTTGGTAGTGGAATGTATGTTTAATTTGTTAATTTTTGTAATAATTTTGTATTTTTTGCAGCTATCGTGAGAACATATTGCGACTGCGCAGTATAATGAGAGACCAGCCACAGAGTCCGCTAGAGCGCGCTGTGTGGTGGACAGAGCACGTGCTGCGTCACGGCGGCGCGCGTCACTTGAGGAGTCCGGCCGCCAACATCTCATTAACTCAATATCTAGAATTAGAACTTGTATTTACTCTAGCTATTATATTAATAATCTTACTTTTTGTTATATGCGTAATACTTAAATCTATTTGGCGATTTTTACGCTTTAAGTTGCACCCCGAAAATAAAAGTAAAAAATGTTGAGTTAGTCTTTAATCTATACTATTATAATAAAGCGTAAACACACACTTCTTGTTACCTAAGATGTCAGCAATTACAGCATATTTTGGAATAATTCTTTCTTTAATAAAAAGCCCTATGCTTATGTCACGCTTTAGGCTATATATTTTTACTTAGAGGGTAAATATTTTAGATAAAAACCCTAATGTGGAAAAGACACCATGAGTTGCTGCCAACACCAAGGAAGCAAAATTGCCAAGGTTTGTCATGTCATTTTGACATTTGCTATTGATAATTTGACAAATGTAAACAATGAAATAAAATTTTCATAATTCCATGCGGATAAAGCCGCACGGGAACAGCTAATAGTCAGTATTTGTGAAATAGTAATTTTAGGTAACTAGTAATGTTATAATAGTAGGAAATTGTAACTGCCAAACTCGGTCGTTGGATGCATTTTTAATATGTTAAGCAGGGAGGCTAAATAATTTCTATCTATTTAACTTATGAACATTAAAATTAACCCAATATACGTTTATAATGTTTCTGACAATAGAGTTAATGATTTCTTTACTTTATGTAGTTGAACATTTTTTAACGTAAAATTGTGTTGCGATAAAATTATTTTAAAAACAATTTACTGCATCATTCCCAGTCGACTACTTTTCTTGCAGATAAAAGAATTTTTACACAGAACTTTAATTTTAAACTTCTCTCTCGTAGATAACACTTGGAATGTATCTCGCTGCAGATGTAATTTAATTTAAAATTGTTTAATGCTGCATTTATAGTTTGTATTTTACCGTTTTATATATCTAACTAATTGTCGCCCGCGACTCCGTCAGTTTGCCGTGATAAAAACAAAAGTAAGTAGCCTATGTGTTCTTAAATATGACGCTCTACATCTGTGCGAAATTTTATTGAGATCCGTTCAGCTGTGTAGGCTACAAAATATAACAAACATCTATCCATACAAACTTTCATATGTATAATATGAAGAGTATTTCCCGTTAGAACTATCAGCCTACCAATTAATCGACCCAATGGGCCAATAGGAAATACACAATCTAGCGTTTATTTCCGTGAAAAAAAATTAAAAATCAAGTCTAGTCCGTCTAAGCTTCATTTTAATCAGTCGATTAAAATTATATGAGCTAAGTTGTCTATTATTTCTGCTTATCCTTTCCGTTTATCACTGCAAAATTTCTCAAATTTTGGATATAGATAAAACCAAATACGTGTATGAGGAGCAGGACAAATGGAAAACGGAGGCTTTCGCACGAGCGCTTTTATAACGCGCATCTAAAAAGAATGAAAGCATTTCGATGTATCTGTTCTTACGGCAGTGCAACTGCGACACTTTTTTGTCACGCAGTTTTATTTTAACACGCTCACTGGGTAACAGGCCGATATCGGCCTGACGCGGTATTTAAGCTGGTGCGGACGAAGAAAACTATGTCCCTCTCGCTAGTGCGAAATGATTATAGGTGTACCTTACATAATATGTATACATTATGTTTAATGTTATTAATCTATCCTAGTGCTGGTGGGTCTAGAAAGACCTGCCACGCACTGGCGGAAATAACTTTAGGAGCGCATTTTGACTCGCAGCGGCACAAGGTGAAGAATTATGATTTTACTTTCCGCAGTAAACGTGTAAGCTCTGGACGAACGGAACAAGAGTGTCTTTAAAGCGTTCTAGAATCTAGAGTCCAACACCACGTTTTAAAACGATATCATGTTTGGTCAACATTTTCCTACATTTGGAAAAGTGCATGGAATTTTGTTCAAGAAGAAATTGCGTATTTAACTTACAAAGAAAAAGCCTGTGTTGTTATTCTGGAATCCACCCTGTTAAAGCACCCCTTAACAAGTCGAGAGAGAACTTTGTACGACATTGTTCCGAATTCCATAATTCCAGTAGAATTAGTCTGCTCCTCAGAAGAGGCGATATTTTATGCAAATTCGACTGTGAAGCTTTTTGTTAACATTTCCTTGCACTGTGAAATGATCTAACATTTAAGTAAGTTTTTTCCGCAAGATTTACACTGAACTAGGATTTTTTTTAATCTACTTATTAAATGGAAAATTCATCATCATTCATGTAGAAAGTTAAAAATAATGAGTAAATTATAAAATTGTATTTAAAAGTCAGAGGCGACAGTTAGTTCAAGCTGTCGCCTCTGACGCCTCTGCACGAAACATAAAAAAGACTTTGTTCTACATTTATCTCAAACAGCGACATCCGATGTGTCGTTCTGATACGTTTTCAACAAACATCCATCCATTTATCTAAACTTTCGCTTTTATAATATTTGTAAAACAAAAAATGCACTAAAAACAAAACAAAATACACCAAAAACAAAATATTCTCAAAAAAACAGTACACTAAAAAGTAACGAAATAATTCCTTGAAAATAGTAAACCTACCTTATTGTAACTGTTATGTCTATATTGTACAATTATTTTTACTTTGATGTCCGTGTCAGCCAAGGTATCCAGAGATATTTCTACGTAAGGGTTTCCACATTTTTACCATAACAATTGACAATTGAAAGTATAGTAACAATTAAGTAATGAATCTACATTGACTGACACCGACATCAAAGTAATAATAATTGTACAATATAGACATAACAGTTACAATAAGGTAGGTTTACTATTTTCAAGGAATTATTTCGTTACTTTTTAGTGTACTGTTTTTTTGAGAATATTTTGTTTTTGGTGTATTTTGTTTTGTTTTTAGTGCATTTTGTTTTGTTTTTAGTGTATTTTGTTTGGAAGTCGGTTTTGTTTTTTTTTATTTTGTTTATTTATATCTATCTCTTGATAATATAAAAATCATGGACAAGCGTAGTTTATTGTGTCCAGACATATTTATGTTCTGTACTAATAAATGTGATTCCAGCCACATTTGTTCGAGATTTAATAATCCAAAACTACAATATTATTGGCGCGAATAAATACGTATTGTTAACACTCAATGAATTTTATACGCTTCGCAAAATATAAATCGAACGTGTTCTTTTAAATAAGGACCTGCAATTACCATTATATGATGTTAAATTTTATTGAGAAGAAAAGTTAACTGAGACCTCGGTTAATTACGTGACCGGATTGGACCTGTCTATACGTAAATATACCCCACAACATACCACAGGTATTTCAATTTTCAAATGTACTTTTGACGTTCTTCCGGTGAAAGAAACCATCATATTGCAACTATGTATTTGGAAATACAGAAGTAAAAATGCAACGACATATGGGAAGTCAACTCTACTGGGCCAGCGTGGTGAGACCTATCTGGGACAGATGTAGTTGTAATTAAATTTTAAATATACAGAGGTGCTTTTTCATTTTGTTAATGATTCGCCATTTGCTGCAAGCAAAGGTAACACCTTAGGTAAAGATAGTATAAATTATTCGAGATCTAGATTGAGAGGGTCCTTCGAATGTGTCCAGTCTTATGTAACAGGCGATCACAACGAAAACGAGCATTAGCTAACAGTTTTACACAAGATTCGCTGACAATTTATTAACTTTCATTTATTTTCCCATTTAAATATAAATTAGTGTATTGTTAAAGTGAATTGGTTTGTACATTTTCCAATGGATTGAACATTTCGTCGCGCAAACTGCTAAAATTAAATGGCACTGCAATTTACAGAGTACTGAATAATCCTCGTTTAATGAATGAACAGAAAATAAAGTAAAACGCTGGCCTACGTGCTCAGCACGATTTGTGAGATTTCAGTTCCCATATCATCTTAAATGCAATAGTTACAGACCAAAAACATAATTTAGTTTATAAAGTAACTTTATTGCTATAACAGTTATTAGCAATTCATGTTTCTGGTGCACAAAGTCAAAAACTATTTTCTGTTTGTTAGATTTTCTTTGGAAAAAATACACATCAAAACTTTAAACAATAGTGATTAGCAAAACTTTCTTATCCAAGCTTCTCGTGAGGTTAATTAAAAAAGTTTAGAAATCTTCAGAACACAATGATCTGATAAACCCACATCGGAAGTCTGCCCACAAGATATTGCGAACGGCAGCTGCTCTCGAAAAGAAAAATATCAACTTAAAAAGATGTGCCATTTACTTAGTTTCTTTAGTGGTTTGACGAACAAGAACTAAAACTTATCTATCGAATTATCTTGTAGATATTTTATAGAAGAATTCGATTATTTTCTTGTTATGTAAACTTCCTTGTCTGTTGGCATTATCACAATAATGATATTGAAAATGATACATCATCTTCCTTACATTATCATCGTCCCTTAGGGTCAACGACCTGGTTATCAATCTCCAGATAACTATCATACGTCATCTCAGTCATCACACCCTTCTATATCACATCACCTTACACGCAATCCATACATCTCTTTATAGGTCTACCTCTACCCCCCCATCCCGGAACCTTCGTCTATGTCACTAAAGGATGGCCACCGAGGGGGTTTTAGTAGGTCAAATCCTGCATAACCCTGCCTTCCCCCCAGGATGCAAGGTATCTTTTGTACATTTCTCCCCTGACACCAAAAAAAAAACGGTTTACCTCTACCGGTGTACTTTCAAACTCATATTTACTTTCTATGAAATGATAGGCTCGCTTCTAAAAAGACCTATGTCGTGATAGTTTAGAAATACCGCCGTGGACAGACAGTTTCACAACGCGGATGTGTGGGGCAGAAATAGCGCGAAAACCGCATGAATTTCTCTATCACTGAGGCTACTTTCAAACTTCCTCTAATATAAATGACAGTGACATGATAAAAATAATTATACTGTCTAGACGAAGTTATCACAAAACTACACAACGTGTTTACGATACAATATCATGCACAGATTTTTAAACTAGACGTGATCATTGTTACTCAACAATTGCTAAGATTATGAAATGAACGAAGATAAAAAATCAAGTTGTACATCATAAAGAATACAGAAGTGTTTAAATATTGCTGACAAATAATGACATTGCGTAACTATACAAATATTATAAAAAGAAAAGATTTGCATTTTTGTATGTATTGGAATAGCTCAAAAACTACTAGACCCGATTACAAAAATTCTTTCACCATTAAAAAGCTACGTTATCAGTGAGTAACAGGCTCTATTTTATATTATTTTATAATTACATGTGGGCGAGGTCGAGAGAAACACTATAATTTTGTATAACTTATAAAAACATCATGTTGGCTAGCTCAAAATCTTCTAAAGTAGTGATTCTAAATCTACATAAAAAATTGGAGTGTCTTTATGTAATAGAAAAAAAATCCCGATTTCGCGAACTTGATACATTTGAGTTACTGATAACGAAAATGTTAGAGGAAGTCATCGGAAAACCTGCAAACGGGTTATTCGGTCGTTTATAATTTACCTAGGCAATTAGTCGACTGTTTACGACTTGCCTAGAGTCCCGACTATTTGTAAACAAGATTATAAGTTAGTCATAATTTTATTAAATTCAACTCATAACAAAGATTAATTAATGAAAAAAAATCATGAAAGATCTTATTTAATAATTCATAAATGCACAAATGTTTGTTTTATTATAGAGCAAATTTTCTTTATTTGGAGCATTTATTAAAATAGCCAGACATTTTTGTAAATTACAAATTCATTAAATTTACCGTAACATAGGTTGTAGAATAGTAATAACATATCAAGTTTATTTTTTGCAAGTCACCTTAAAATCAAGTTTATATTAACGCGTTTAGCTTGATCATTCACAAATTGTCTGTAAATAACGATGGTGTCTAAATCGGTGATTTGTTTATTGTGTTTTACAATATCATGGACAGAATCAGCTCGAATATTAGCGATGTTTCCGACTCCATCAATCAGTCATCAAGTGGTATTTCGTCCTCTGACACAAGAGTTGGCGAGACGTGGACACGAAGTCATAGTTATCACACCAGACCCAACATTTCCCAAAGGACAAACACCTCAGAATTTTACTGAAATCGATTTACATGATATCTCATATTCAAAATTCAAGAAACTAATGGGAAGACTTAAAGACGTTACCAGAGATGTCATAGAACAAGTAAAAGTGATCATAGAATCAAACAACGCCATTTTTGAAGAGCAAATGAGAACAGAAAGTGTTCAAGAAATATTAAAATACAAAGAAGATTACTTTGACTTGATACTTGTAGAAGCATGTGTGAGACCAACTATTGGATTGTCATATGTTTTCAAAGCTCCAGTTATTCAAGTAAGTTCTTTCGGTGCAGTGATGGACAATCATGATATAATGGGATCTCCAACACATCCAATTTTATATCCGAGTATGGTTAGAGATAGATTATACAATCTAACGTTATGGGACAAATTGACGCAGTTAAGAAAAGAATTCGTGTCAGCAATGTATACGATTAATCGAGAAGTAGATAATGAAGTACTGAAGAGAGTATTCGGAAAGAATATCCCACCTATTGACAAATTGTATGATAACGTTGCAATGTTATTTCTGAACTTTCATCCTATTTGGGACAGCAACCGTCCCGTGCCTCCAGGTGTTATTTATATGGGAGGATTGCACCAGAATCCACAAAAAGAATTACCCAAGGTAAGATGCAAAGGTTATTAAAATATTCTTCGTTTTTTGTTTTATGACCCCGGTCGCGCAGATCTGCGGCAACCATCAACCAAGGTCGAAATGAAAATATCTTTTTGTGTCGGATTACTAACCTATTAATGTCCAATAAAAGTCGAGTATAGTTAATCGTATTACATTAAACGTTATTTCAGGATCTGAAGTCATATCTAGACACTTCAAAGAACGGAGTTCTTTACTTTAGTTTGGGCACAAACGTGGGACCTTCAGATATACCATCAGAGAAATTGAAAGTCATTATAAAAGTGTTCTCACAGCTGCCATACGATGTACTGTGGAAATGGGACAACGATGAGCTGCCTGGTAGATCAAGTAACATTAAAATATCAAAATGGCTTCCACAATCTGATTTATTGAGTAAGTTTTGTTTTATGGCATTTAAAAGGGTGATAACAAAAATTGTGAAGTACATAGTAGTAATTATTTTTTTTGTTTTGTAAGTTTCATTGTGGTCTGTGGGACAGGGGTCTGGTGATTATGTACATAGGGCGCCACCCTAGTTTGGAGACCAGTCCCCTGCCCAAAGGGAAAATCAATAAAGCATATATTTTTAATATGTATAATCATCGAATGTTTAATTTAATCTTACCTATCTGGTAATATTTGTCTTGAATGATTTACAAATATTTAAAGTCATTGTTCCATATCAAATTTAAATAGAAATACAGAAACTATATCTTAATCATACTAATACTAATATAATAAATGCAAATGTTTAGATGGATGAATGGATGTTTGTTAGAGTTTGTAGTCTAAACTGCTAAAAGGATCTCGATAAAATTTAGCATAGATGTAGAGGATATTCCGAAATAACATATAGGCTACTAACTTTCGTATTTTTATCCCAAGCGGATGGAGTCGCGAACGTAAGGTAGTTGTGTTACAATTTTATGTTTCATTTCAGGACATCCAAACATTAAATTATTTATAACACAAGGAGGTCTACAATCAACAGACGAGGCGATCACAGCTGGTGTGCCAGTTATTGGCATACCAATGTTGGGCGATCAGTGGTTCAATGCTGAAAAATACGTTCACTTTAAAATAGGACTTAAACTGGACATTAATACTTTAACAGAAGAACAATTGCATGACGCTATAAAATCTGTTCTTAAAGACAATAGGTAAGATAAGATAAATTATTGTTACGACCGTGAGGGATAGAGTAAAACAGTTTGATAATTTCTTCTTAAATTTATTCACGACTTACAGAAATAGGGATTCACTACACTCACACAGTTGTCCGTTCACACAAGAAGTTTGCGGGCATCTTTGCGGGCATTGCGGGCACAGATTCAGTAACACAGAGCAGTTTACGACACAACAATGACACTATCATTTGCACCTCACTTCGCGGTCACTTAATCTTCTTCGTAATTCGCTTAGGACTTCCTCTTCACAGTTCACTTTCTACCGTAAGACTCCCGAGTCACGTCTGACTTCCCTTATATACCCCGAATTTCGATCTTCCTTTCGTTATTCATTTGTTATTTTATTCCAGAACTTTCTCGATAGTCTGAATTACATAAATTTCATATTGGAACATTCTAGAAGCCGTTTCGGATATTCCAGACATCTTTTCGCGAACGTCATTTCCGCTACTCGCTGCGATCGAAAACTCTGGAAACAGCTTCTGTCTTATAAAAAGGCTGTTCGTACATAATAAAAACATTTTGATTAACGTCGACGTTTTCTTATCAATATGGATTGATAATTTGATGCAACCTACACATATATTTGAAGATATTCTAAGATATGAAGTCTACCAATTCTCACGGGGCCAGTGTTACGCGTTAACTTAGTGTAGCTTAGTGTAACTCAGTCCCGTTAGTGGGGAACTTTTATTAACAGTAGAGTTTAAAGTGTGAGGGAACAAATGAGTAAACGGCCACGTAATTGGGGTGATAGTAGTTTTTAGATTACTTCAATTTGTATATTATTCCAGCTATCGTAAGAACATAGTTCGACTGCGCAGTATAATGAGTGACCAGCCACAAAGTCCGCTAGAGCGCGCCGTGTGGTGGACAGAGCACGTGTTACGTCACGGCGGCGCGCGTCACTTGAGGAGTCCGGCCGCTAACATCTCAATAACTCAATATTTAGAATTAGAACTTGTATTCGTTGTTTTTAGTGTATTTTTACTCTCTGCTTTTGTCCTCGTTGTAGTTACTAAGACGATTTGGAATATTTTAAATGTAAAATTACCAACTGTAATTAAAATCAAAAAGTTTTAAAGACTGATTATTCTATCATTACATTAGCTAAATAAAAACTCAATTATTGTCATGTATCTAAATGTGATATTATTGTTATTAAACATTAAAGTTCAGTTTAAGAATAAACAGAATTTCAAAAGTATTTACTATTTTTTTTCATGGGTTCCCATAGTCATAAAGCGTAAATCTTCTTATGAAAACACCCTTTCTATTATTATATTTCTAGAAACGTATCAAAATCCGTAGCCTAGTTTTAAAGATCTAAACATAAGAACAATCAGCGGGAAGCGACTTTATTTTATAGTTTGTAATGATAACTACAAAAAACTCCATAATATATACATACAGTAAAATTAGAGTATCTGTTTGTAATTTAAAATAACAGTAACAAAACATCCCGCATATCGTCTTCGAATCTGAATTTTAAGGGCCTGTCCTACCATTCTTCTAAATTGTCATCTGACATCGGAATACCAAAATTCGACATTAGACTGTTAGATAACAGTCTAATGTCGAATTTTGGTATTCCGACAGTGGAATCACTTTTAAGTTATCTATGCTACTATCAGCCAGTGGTGGGACAGGGCCGTAGACTCTTCAGGATATCTTATGGATTACTAATCACATTCATGTCTCAAATTTTGAGACAATTATCTCGAGGGCAAAGATTGAAAAAAGGTATTTAAAAAAAAAACTATTATTTCGATTTTAATTAACACATTCCTTTGAATAGTGTTATATGTTTAAACTTCATTATTTACTTAAATTAGGCTTATCAACATAATTATATAATATACATTGATTTCTTCCTTGCATTAGTAATCCAGACACACATGGCATCATGTAACTACAATTATAGATAAACACATCTTGCTTCAATTATTTACATACATAAACAATGACTACATAAAATGTCCTCATTTTACACAATACAATTTTGTAATAAATATATGCTACAAAAGTGTTTTAATTATTTCAAAGTTTATAAATGTAATGTTGAACACTATCACTTGAACACTATCCTGGCTTACCCGTCTACGAACGAGGCCGGCATGGTGTTTATTTTGGCCCACATCTGTTTAAGAAAGTAGTTGGATAACTGTTTTTTGTTTGTTTTAAACTTATGGGCTGTTATTGTCGCTTCGCCACAATGCCTCCTTTATTAATTAATAAATAAAAACATATATGAGAACGCGGAAATATCAAGATGATATTAAAAATTATTTACATCAAAGAAACCATTATTCATCAACTAATATCATTGAGAAACACGTTGTTTCATGTTTAAAGTGATAAGCATAATAAAGAAACGAGAACTGACAAGTTTAGTGATTAATGACTACGATTTAATATATTTAGTCAATATTATCTCCAGCGGTGTCAGCTTGGCTGACTCTTAATATGTATGTATGGTTTTACAATACTGATTTTTCGTTAAGAACTATTTTATCAAAAAGAACGTTAATTCACTAAATAAATCACAGTTAAATTAACTTAATATAGTAAAATCTGAGATTAGTTTTACATTCATCGGACGTCCTTTATGCAATGATAATAATGCTTTATGTTTAACTAAACTACAATAAATCAGTTTAAAAACTGCCCATAAATGTTAAAAATGTCCAAGCATCGCCGCATTGTGACGATAGTAAACATTTATGATTAGATACATAAATAATTTCGGTAATAATAAATAATTTCAACGATAATAAGATAACAAAATAATGAGTCATGTGAAATCAGGTTTATAATATCGTGTCTATAACCATTTGTACCAAACTTGTTCAAGTGTAGCAATGTTGTTCAGTTTAGTGGTTTATTTGTTATGTTTTAAAACATCATGGATAGAATCAGCTCGAATACTAGCGATGTTTCCGACACCATCGATCAGTCATCAAGTTGTATTCCGTCCTCTGACGCAAGAGCTGGCAAAACGAGGTCACGAAGTCACAGTTATCACACCAGACCCCGCATTTCCTAAAGGACAAGCGCCTAAGAATCTCACAGAAATCGACGTTCATGATATTTCGTACACCAAATGGAGGAATATAATGTCGGGAATAGATAACATTCCAAGAGATCCAATAGAGCAAGTTAAGGTAATCATAGATTCAGCTTTTGCTGTATTTGAAGATCAAGTGAAAAGTGAAAGTGTTCAAGAAATACTGAAATACAAAGAAGATTATTTCGACTTGATACTTGTAGAGGCATGTATAAGACCTACTCTCGGGTTATCTTATGTTTTCAAAGCTCCAGTTATTCAAGTAAGTTCGTTTGGTGCTGTGATGAACAATCATGATATAATGGGTTCAGCAATACATCCAATTTTATACCCAAATCTGGCTAGAGAAAGATTATATAATTTAACTATGTGGGAAAAAATAACACAGTTAATAAATGAGTACAAAACAATAATGTACTCGATTAACAAAGACTACGATAATCAAATATTGAAGAGATTGTTTGGCAATAACGCACCACCCATTGATGAATTATATGACAATGTTGCGATGTTATTTTTAAACTTTCATCCTATTTGGGATAGTAATCGTCCTGTGCCTCCAGGAGTTATCTACTTAGGAGGACTGCATCAGAATCCACAAAAAGAACTACCCAAGGTAAGGTATAATAAGTGCTATCATAGAAACATTCTTCTTTTTTTGTTTGATGAAACTAGCCTAGGTCGAAAAGAAACGAACGTTTTTGTATCGGATTGCTAACTTGTTTTAAAAAGAGTAGACGATCACGACGATTAATCTCAATACATTCAATATTTTTTCAGGATCTAAAATCGTACTTAGACTCATCCAAAAACGGTGTTGTTTACTTCAGTTTAGGAACAAACGTCAAACCATCAAATCTACCAGCTGAGAAGCTACAAGCTATAGTTAAAGTGTTGTCGCGATTTCCATATGATGTTTTGTGGAAATGGGACAATGATGAATTACCAGGACGATCGAGTAATATAAAAATATCAAAATGGCTGCCCCAATCAGACTTATTACGTAAGTTTTTATCTCGTTTCCGAAAACATTAAAAGATCATACGAAAACCTCCATCTCTAATCATTATGACAAAGTTTAAAGGTTAAATAAAATTTATTAAAATTAGTCAATGTGTTTTTCTCATGATGTTTTGTTTTCAGGGCATCCTAAAATAAAACTATTCATAACTCAAGGTGGTCTGCAATCAACAGACGAGGCGATAACTGCTGGAGTACCGCTGATTGGTATACCAATGCTAGGTGACCAGTGGTATAACGTTGAGAAATACGTTCACCACAAAATTGGTCTTATGGTTAACATAGACACATTGACGGAGAAAATTTTTGAAAATGCTATAAAAACTATTCTCAACGACAACAGGTAATTTTTACATGTTATTTATAAGAATTGATTTTCTTCTCCTTGTCATCTATATGACGCCTACTGCTGGGCATATGCTTCCCACATCCAGCATTCTCCAGCAACGTTAACCACATCATCGATCCATCTTGTAGGGGTCCTAAGCAAAATGCGCCCTGTCGGTGATCGCCATTCCAGGACTTTGTGGCCGAATTGTGCTATTTTGTTCCAGCTATCGTGAGAACATAGTGCGACTGCGCAGTATAATGAGTGACCAGCCACAGAGTCCGCTAGAGCGCGCTGTGTGGTGGACAGAGCACGTGCTGCGTCACGGCGGCGCGCGTCACTTGAGGAGTCCGGCCGCCAACATTTCGTGGTCTCAATATTTAGAATTAGAACTTGTGTTCGTTTTGTTTGCATTATTAGTCCTCTCTTTATTTGTTTTTATTATTACTATTAAGGTGATTTGTAGTTTTGTATTTCAAAAGTTACTAGCAAATAAGATAAAAAAAGCTTAAATATTTTATTTCGATTTGTTGGACGTAAATTTTATAAATGGTGTCAACAAAACAATTTTCTATTTCATCAATAGAATAGGAAATACGTCATGATCAATGAAATAAAAAGATCATTCCTTTTAAAATATTTTCATTAGGTAAAAAATCTTATATTTTAATAAAAATTGATATTAAAAAGTAATTCATGTACGCTAATCTTGCAATTGTGTTATTTTTTTTTTATATGCAGAAAGTTATGTATTAATAATGGAATTTTATTACTACGTACTTATTTAATGAAGAAAAAACGTTTTGCCACATTAATGAGATGGCCTACTACAAAAACCGATGAATCAATTTCAAAAATAATGACTTCCTCATTTGATAATGTATGTTATTTACTTAATTTTGATCACGATACAATTTACCTTTTTGTAAAATATCTTTCTATTAACTAAAAAGCGTTTTTATCGCCTATACTTAATTTGCAAGTTTCGGAAACTATGTTATCTAAAATTATTTAGAATCAAAACCTTATACTGAGTGAACATGAAAATTGTAGGCGCAATTGTATTGTTTACGTTACATTTTTCTAATATATATGGAGCACGAATTTTGGCTGTATTTCCAGTACCATCGATAAGTCATCAAATAGTTTTTCGTCCAATTATTCAAGAACTATTAAAACGTGGCCATGAATTGGTTGTTATTACTCCTGATCCTGCATACACTGAGAACAAAACACCGGTCAACTTAACGGAAATTGATGTACATGATTTATCATACTCTACGTGGGAGAGATTTATTCAAAGATCAGAACATCCTAAAAGTTGTTGGGTCGATAAAGTGTTATTCATTATATCTGTAGTAGAACAAGTTTTTGAAAGACAAATGAATTCGCAAGTAGTTCGAGAAAATGTACTAAATGGCAACGAGAAATTTGATCTTATACTAGTGGAGGCTAGTGCAAGAATGACTCTTGGTCTAGCTCATGTTTTTAAAGCACCTGTGATTCAAATAAGTTCTTTTGGTTCGGTTGTCAAAAATTACGAAGCATTAGGGACACCGTTTCATCCATTTTTGTATCCAAGTGTATTCAGATATCGCATATACGATTTAAATATTTGGGAAAAGTTTGCAGAGTTGTATAAAGAAATAAAATTCCACTATAGTCTTCAGAATAGCGAAATACGTGAGAATGAAGTGATGAAGCAACTTTTTGGAGCAGATACACCAACACTACATGAATTGTATCCAAAAGTTGAATTGTTACTATTAAATGTGCACGCGATTTGGGAAAACAATCGTCCTGTACCACCGAACGTTATATTTTTGGGTGGATTACATCAAAATGACAAAAAAGAATTACCAAAGGTAAGACTCATTTTATAAAATCACATTGTTTCATTGGACTTCAAAATAATTTTAAAATACTAATAATTTCTAGGATTTACAAACATATCTCAATTCCTCTGTAAATGGTGTAATATATGTTAGTTTTGGAACTAACGTGAGGCCGTCATTGCTTCCGTTAAACAAAATGAAAATATTAACCGAAGTGTTTTCGGAATTACCATACGATATCATATTCAAATGGGATAAAAATGAATTACCTGGACGGAGTGGAAATATAAAAATTTCAAAATGGTTACCGCAGGCTGACTTGTTAAGTGAGTAATTTCTATTTCGTCTTTGTCATTGAATAGTTTTCGCCTGCGATTCCGTCCGCTTGAATTAAAATTATAAAAAAGTTTCCACCTGTTCAATATGTTCCTCCAGAGTATGCTCTATAAATATGCCAAATTTCATCGATGTCCATTCACCAGTTTAAGTTACAAATTCTCACAATCTATCTAAATTTTCGCCTTTATCATATTAGTAGTAAAGTAATAATTAAGTGTGCCAAATGATCCAATTTGAACTCTTAAGATCCACTGCAGTATCAATTCAATGTAATATCACGAAAGATTAGTTATGCATGAAGAAAAACATATTGGTTTTATTTAATACCGTTTAACAATTTTCTCCTTTCCAGGACATCCGAAGATCAAATTATTTATAACTCAAGGTGGTCTTCAATCTACAGATGAAGCGATAACTGCTGGTGTTCCATTACTAGGTATACCGATGTTAGTAGACCAATGGTACAATGTTGAGAAGTATGAGAAATTTAAAATTGGACGTGGTCTTGATATGGATACACTTAGTAAAGAAACTTTAGCAGCTACTATAAGTACCATAATAGAAGACGAAAGGTATAAAATGAAATTTTTATATAATAATATGCTAATGATATAAAACCATCTACAGAACGATTGGAACACATCGTGTCGTAACTAAATCAACTGTACAAAATTGCCATTTAAAAATTTACAGGCGCCAATTGAAATATTAAAAACTTTAATTAAAAAACGAAAATACTAGTGGACACTAAGAACTAGTTATTATGAATCAAATATCAATTTTTCTACAATAATACAACTTATACAAAAAATACTAAAAGAGATTAAAAAGCATGCCATCTATGTCGTAGATAAAATCATACTAATATTATAAATGCAAAAATCTACATGGATGGATATATGGATAGATATTTGTTAGAGTTTGTAGCCGAAACGTCTGAGCGAATTTCAATGAAATTTGGTGTAGATGTAGAGGATAGTCTGGAAGAACACAGGCTACTCACTTTTGTTTTTTTTTCCACGCGGACGGAGTCGCGGGCGACAGCTAGTACGTAATTTTTTTTTTATTCTATAATAACTTTTATTCGTATTGTATTCTCAGTTATCGCAAGAATATAGAACATCTACGTAGAGTAATGAACGACCAATCAACAAGGCCGTTAGACCGTGCGGTGTGGTGGATAGAACATGTGCTGCGACACAGAGGGGCTGGACATCTTAAATCTGCAGGCGCCCATGTCACCTGGTCTGAATTTCTAGAATTAGATCTTATTGTGGCATTAATAGTTTTGACCGTTGTATCTTTAATATTGAGTTTGCTAATTTGTATATCAACTTGGAATTTTCTAAGCAAAATCGTTTGGAACGGTAAGTTAAAGATATTTTAAGATATTTTTTTAATTTTCGTAGAAAATAAAATGTGTGTAACGTATTTGCAATAAAACCATAATCTTTGATGCTTCTCAGTGTTTTCAATTATTTTTCAGAGGTATTAAAGAAAGAGAGCGTTGTAAAATTTTCTGCAAAGATAATGGATGGGACACCTATAGTTACTTTACAGGATGAACATGGATTCAAATATGACTTACATAAAAATAAATAAAAACTGTTTTCACTTCAAATTGTATTTTTTTCTATATTGCACAATTGGTGGCTGTGGTGAGAATTCGAACTAATAATTAGCTAAAATTTACATAAAACTATAACATCTTTTCTTTATAATGAATTTGATAAAGTTGCAACAATTTTTGGAATGTAAACCTTAAAACTAAAGTAATTAATACAAGTGATGTGACTAAACTAATAAGTACTAAGGAAAGTAGTTCTAACTCTAAGTATTCGGACCAGGAAATGTTAGCGGCTGGTGATCTGAGATGCTTAGCACCTCCGTGACGCAGCACGTACTCCAACCACCAGATGGCTCGCTCCAGCGGCTTTTGTGGTTGATCTTGCATCAGACTGCGTAGCCGGATTATGTTGTTTCTATAACTGTAAAAAAGAACGATTAGAATGAATCATTAATCAAATAAAAAATAATACACATAGCTATCTATATTTCTACGACATTTTACGTAGTATAAAATTATATAAGGCCTCAATCAACTATTTTAGTTCATCAAGAAATACATAGAGTAAAAAGTAATGATAACTAAAGAAAATCTATTGCATAAAGTAAACACCAACCTTTCATTTTCAGCTACGTCTAGTAAGGCTTGTTTCAATTTTTCTTCAGTCAGATCTTCAAAGTCCAGCCGCACACCGATTTTATGATAAACATACTTTTCAACATTGTACCACTGATCTCCTAACATTGGTACACCAACTAGCGGTACGCCGGCTGTGATAGCTTCGTCAGTAGACTGCAATCCTCCTTGTGTTATAAATAGTTTGACATTTGGATGTCCTGCAAATATAATTGTAAGTTGTAAAACTTCTGAAGTGAATCAGGCCTAATGTTAACTCACACAGAGTACTCAACATATAAATTTAAATATTATAGTGTAAACATAAATAACTTACTCAACAGATCAGACTGTGGAAGCCATTTGAAAATCCTAACATTATCTGATCTTGGTTGTAAACTTTCGTCATCCCATTTCCATATGACATTGTAAGGTAGCTCGGCGAACACTTTATGGAAAATTTCAATTTTCGCTGGATCCAATAAAGACGGCCTGACATTTGTGCCGAAACTGAAATATATTACACCATTCTTCGAATTGTCCAGTAATTGCGAAAGGTCCTTAAACAAACAACTTTTTATATATTTATATCCACTAATGTTGAGAACCATATATGTAGATATTATTGTACCGCTTATTTAATTTTTATCTGATAGCACTTATTACAGCCACTACAAAGTGTGATAGTGTAAAAACAATTGTAATCACTTCCACGTTTTATCTATTGCAGACATAATATAATAATATTTATCTTCATGGAAGTAATTACTCAAGATAAAATGGAGACGGTTTGTAGAGTATTTTAACTGTTGAAGAAATTTAGAGGTGACTTACTAAGTGATGAATGATGATGAATGGATGGATTGTGTGCAAAAATGAGAAGGGAGTGTCGTCTATGACGATGAATAATGAAAGTTAGATTTATATTAATAAGATCTGTTGCACCAACCCTACATCAAAAGAATAAGAGCGGGAAGAAGATGACCATCATCACAACCGCACTAGACGTCCCCACTGAGGGTTCCGGAGTCTACCCTAGTACGGGGTGACTTACCAATAGTCAACATATAAAAATCGAAAATAATTTGCACATGGCACATGACGTAATTCGCTCTACTAATCAAAAACATTTATCTCTACTAATCAAATAACTTTTTGTCCTTTCGTCCAGGGACGGTATAAATGATTGAAATGTCATATTAAAATTCAAACTATATAATAAATACAAACTATATATTTACATTTATCTACTAAACACAATCCAATCGAAACAATTTAGGTAATGTTGTAAGAAGTTGTTTGACATTTAAAATTATTTAAGAAAATCATGATACACCGCCTTACCTTAGGCAATTCTTTTGGTGGTTTTTGGTGTAATCCACCCATGTGCACAACGGCGGGTGGTACGGGATAATTTCCTTCCCAAATAGGATTTATATTCAAAAACAACATCTCAACTTTATTTTTCAATTCATTTAGAGTTGGAGTGTCAGGGCCGAATATTCTTTTCAAAGCTTTGTTTTCTTCGTCTTCGGAAGCAATCGTTATGTATTTTATTCTGACTTGAGTATAAAGGTCAATTATTTTTTCCCAAATAGTCATATTGTAAAGTTTTTGACTGAAGAAATTACGATATAAATAAGGAGGATTAGTTGGCGCACCGATTATTTCATAGTTGCCAAGAAATGGACCAAAAGAGCTGACCAAAATTGTCGGAGCTTTAAAAAGATGTGAGATACCTAAAGCTGTTTCCAAAAACGCTTCAACTAATATTAAATCGATTCTTTGTTTTTTATCGCTGATAAATTCTTTTACTTCTGTTATGTTCATTTGCTCTTCTATCGCGATTATACTTAACTCCTTTATATTATGTACTTGAGTTATAACCTCGTTTGTTTTCCCAATTATTATTCTATGCAGATTTTTTCTCAATAAATTATATGATACATCATGCATATCAATTTCTGTCAAATTTGCAGGAGTTTTTCCTCTGGGATAAATAGGATCTGTTGTAAGTACAGTCACTGTGTGCCCACGTTTGATCAATTCTAATGTTATTGGTCGAAACACGACTTGATGACTGATCGAAGGACATGGATAATAGGCTAAAATATTTGCAGACTTAACACTAACTATAAAATTTAATAGCAAAATATGTAAAACCTTGACCAACATGATCACAAGCACACTAACTGAAGAATGAAGGAACCTCAAGGGTAAACGCATTTATAAGTTTAATGAATCACGACCAGTGTACGTGGACGTGTTAGATATAAATTCCAAGTCATCATGTCTGTCATCTCTGTTGAGAACCTATAAGATATAATGTACCACTCTATTGATTTTCTTTTATTTGATAACACTCATTACAGCCACTACACAGTTTGATAGCGTAAAAATAATTATTAACACCTCTACGCTTAATTTATTTAAGAAGTAATATAGTTAGTAATGTTTATCTGCATGTAAGTAATAACTCAAGACAAAATGTAAACGGTCTGTTGAGTATTATACCTTTTGAAGAAATTATAGAGATTTCATACTAAATGACGGTTTTATTGATTCGAATGTATCAATGGTTGAAGATATGACTTTAAAAGGCAAACAAATTGATTCGATTTAGTGTACAATGTGGAGAGACATTCCGTTATGACTAATACGAGATGGATGGATTGTATCAAAAAAATGAGAAGATGGATTGTATGAAGAAAACGACGGAATATAGATTGATATCGAGGAAGAAAATCTGGTGCACCGACCCCACATGACAAGTAGAAGAACAAGGAGAAGACGATCATCATCAGCTCGCTAGACATCCCCACTGAGCAGCCCGGAACCTATCCTAGTTGAAGTAAATATGTCATAGACTTGACGTTTAATCGTTGTATTTAGTAGTAGATGTTTTCTTTCACGGAGTGTTGGTTAAATATTTATGAAATTCAAAAATAGAAATATACATATTACATGGTGGAATTCGAACTGTGGACCTGCAGATGACAAGTTAAATCAAACTTTTAAGCCACCAAAGCTCACAATGATAATGTTATCGTAATAATGATAACCGGTGACTCGATATGCTAGAATATCAGAAACAGAATGTATTAATGTGAAAATTTTAACTTTTGTTTTATTAGAGTAGCAAGAATTATTGTTTCTTCGGCTTTGTCAAAAACTAATACTGTATTTGAAAAATGTATACAGTGGCAGTAACCGCTGCTTTGGATGTAACGAAATGTATTTACATTGAACTCTACTAACTTAAGAGCTTTATTTCTTATCGTTTTCATTAAAATCGTTCAGAGGGAGAAGTGAAAATACTCAAAAGCTGTCAGACATACGACACTTCTAAAAGTATACGTCAAAATTTATAGTTGTCTACCGAAACTCGAACCAATGGAAACAATTTAATTTAGTCTACAGGTATTATTTAACATTTAATAACATTAAGTGAAAAGAGCCATATCCTTACCTTGGGTAATTCTTTTGGTGGTTTTTGATGTAACCCACCCATGTATACAACAGCGGGTGGTACGGGATAATTTCCTTCCCAAATAGGATTTATATTCAAAAACAACATCTCAACTTCATTTTTTAATTCATTTAGATTTGGAACATCAGGGCCGAATATTCTTTTTAGAGCTTTGTTTTCTTCGTCTTCAGAAGCTGACAAGTATCTTATTCTGATTTGAGTATACAAGTCATTTAACTTTTCCCACATAGTCATATTGTAAAGTTTTTGACTAAAGATATTTCGATACAAAAGTGGAGGATTGGTTGGTGCACCGACTATTTCATAACTGCCAATAAATGAACCAAAAGAACTTATCACAACTGTCGGAGCTTTATAAACATGTGATATTCCCAAAGCCATCAAGTAAAACGCTTCAACTAATATTAAATCGAATTTTTCTGTTTCACTACTGATAAAGTCTTTTACTTCTTTTATGTTCATTTGCTCTTCTATTACTTGCGGTGCAAACTCCTTTAAAATATTCACTTGATGTACAACATCGCTTCTTTTTCCCACTAAAAATTTATGCAAGTTTTTTTTCAACAAATTATATGAAACATCATGCATATCAATTTCTGTTAAATTTGCCGGAGTTTTTCCTTTTGGATAAATAGGGTCAGTTGTAAGTACGGTCACTGTGTGCCCACGTTTGATCAATTCTAATGTTATTGGTCGAAACACGACTTGATGACTGATCGACGGGCATGGGAAATACGCTAAAATATTTGCTGCCTTAATACTTACTATAAAATTTAATAGCAAAATATGTAAACCTTTCACCAACATGATCACGAGCAAACTTACTAAAGAATGAAGGAACCTTAAGATAAAGCGCATTTATAAGTTTTTATTGAAACATGACCAGTGTACGTGGTCGTATTAGATATAATTTACAAGTCATCATGATTCTTCTTTCATCTCTTATCTACGTAATCATTAATTAAATGTCTGGACGATAACCTTAAGTTGTATGCGTAGTAACAAACATACTTAGGAAAAAATAATTTGGAATCATAGAATTAGCTTAACTTTTCTGACCATTACGAAGGTACACCTATGAAGACATTCTTAGCTTTAGACACTGCCAGTTCAATATTTAGTTTGAAAAATTTAATGTAATTTGATGTGAAATACAAAAATCTATTCTTTTAGTAACACGAAACAGCCAAGTCTATTCTAATAAAGAATAAATACGTAGCTTGCTTATATGCATGTTCTAGTTAATCTTTACTTCTGTCCCGATTGCTATTTGTAGTCTGTTATGAAGGAGTATCTTTAATCAGAGTCTGAGTGTTGAATTCTTATCAAATAGTTGGAGTGATATTTATATAAGGTATGTTATCATTTAACACGTAATTGATTTAGTATACTTATGATGATAAGATGACTCATTGAAAGTAATTTGTCTGACTTCCTATACTACTACGACATTAATTCGATGATTGCATCACAATTTAAAAACCACTTTTATTGTTTAAAAGTTGTAATGGAATAGACGTAAATATCCGTTTAGAGTATTTCCTAATATTTTAGAGATCCAGATAGAAATTGGCCGACTTTTGGTTGTGATATAAAGAACATCTATAAAATGGGGCACAGCGAGTATTGTCTTTTCTGTCGACACTCTCATTTTAATGTAAATACAATACAAGGCAAAATCATAGAATTTAAAATTGGTTAAATGTCCTTCATAATCAATTATTATAAAAAAATTACACCTTTTTCTTATTATGACTTCGATAAAGTGGCAACAATTTTCGGAATATGCACCTTGAAACTAATGTAATTAATATAATAACAATAATCAAAGTAATACGTGGATGTAATTTGATATCATAAAATATTGTTTAGTCATAAAGATAATGTTATAAATAAAAGGTCACCATCATTGATAAGATAATGTAAGTAGTCCTTTTTTGACAATTTTTTGACATGTTGGGTTTTCGAGCTATTAAAAGTGAGAAAGTTGAGATGGTTTGTAAGTGTTTGTTGACCTAAATTGCTAAACGGAATTCGATGAAATTCGGCATAGATGTAGAGGGAATTTTAGAACACATAAGATGCTTACTTTTTTTTAATTCCACGCTGATGGAGTCGCGGATAACCTTATAGCGCGCTAGTAACAAAATAATTTAACAATCGTCTCTGAATTAACCAATTATTGTACTTAAAATCGTTTTTATGTTTATTTAATCATCCAAGCTATAGAACAAAAAAGTAATATATTATCTATATTTATACTACTATTATAAAGAGGAAAGATTTGTATGTATTAAAATAACTCGAACTCAAAAACTACAGAGCCGATTTCAAAAAATAATTTCACGATTAAAATCCTATGTTATCAGTGATTTTTTTTTAATTTCACCCGGCCGAAATTGCGAGCATCAGCTAGTGTTTAATAAATAAATACAAAAAGGAAAGAAACAAGTAGGAAAGTTAACAATATGGAATCAGTTTATAATTGTTCCAAACTATCATAGAGTTAAAAGTACCAGACAACCCTAGCCTAAAAAAATTTATTCACCTTTGTCATTTGGCAAAGTCAAATTATTATACTGAACGCATATGACTGAAAGTTCACCCGACCTTACTATATACGAACAACTTTACTAATGAATAGCCGTTTAATTTAGAGTGTAGTAACGAAGCTTTGAATACGCGTAACGCGAGCTACCAACTTGATTACATTTGATATATATAGATGATACTGGTAAGCTAGACGCGCTAATTTCTGAATCGCTTATTTCTTCATAATAGACGATATTAAAAGTCAGTTCTACCAAAGTCTTGTAAATTTTCAGATAAAAATCCAACGTATAAAATATGTAATAAAAATATCGGATTTTGTTACTCTATCTGACAATGACGTTTTAAGCTATCTGAGCCTCTATCAGCCAGTGGTGGGATAGGCCCTAAGTCTCTAATATATACGAGTACTTATAATAAAAATTGGTGTGTCTGTTATGTAATATTGAAAGAAAAATTACAGACTTCGCGAAGATGATGTATTTCCATGATTGATGATTAAGAAAATATCATTTAAAAAATATTTGTCTAACTGCAAGTCGCGTTTGTTCCGGGTAACCTCCGGAACCGCTGGGCCGATTTTGCTGACATGGATTGGCGTATTATAACCTACTTTTTTAAATTCCGCGCCGTCTAAATGGCGATCTTTGTCTCTGGAACGGATGGAATGATTTAACCGGAACTTTGACTGTAAGTTGATACACGCGGAAATCTTATAGACGAGCATTTTTTTATCCCGCTATAATCAAGTTTGCTGGCGACATCGCGTCAGTAAAAAATATTGTAAATGGTGTATCTTATACCTCAATCAAAACAAAAGAATACACATTATACACACACAAAAACAAGACACTTACACTCGTGAGATAAAACGCGGAATTCCTTCCAGTTTACGCTTGTCTTTTAAGTATTTGTGGTATTACTGAAGCGGGCCATCCACTGGAGCATTATCCGAAGACTTGTGTTATAATGTGGTAGACTTTTAAAGGCACATAAACCAAGTTCCTATAACTATTATTAGTAATAATTAATCCAGATTCACTCCTGTTTTGTATCCCATTATGTATTCTATTAACAATTTGTTTCTCTAACAATTAATTAATTTATGTTTATTACATTTAAACAGGAAGATAATTTATACTGTCGAGTAGAATGGTAAACACAGGTGTTGGGAGCTAATAAATGCAAAGTCACGACCTCCATCTTACAAGAAATGTGACCGAGCAAGACGCTTCGTAAATCGTTTGTATAAAGTTTTACATTAATTTATAATCTGGATAATTAGAGCTACACCCTCACACCTATTGCCTAGAAGTAAGTAAAATTAATAAGATTAGTCGGTTTTAAAGAAGTCAGCAAACAAACCTTTTAATATTATCCCCTATTTCTTTTCTAGGCCAACTCTAATCGTTTTACACTCCAAAACAGATGACTCTCGCGGCGATCTGACAACTACAAGATGGACTACAAGTGAAAGTCATTCCATGTGTTATCTGAAGAACCTTACAAACTAACCGAAGTCTGTAACAAAAATATAACTAATCAGGTTCAATATTTTCGACGCCTGGTTAGTGTTGTGTCACGGGCGACGCTAGAGAGCAGGGCAGGGCAGGTACCCCCCCCCCCTCCTTATATCTACACTAATATTATAAAGAGGAAATATTTGTATTTTTGTATGTATTAAAAGAAATTAAAAACCTACGTTATCACTGAGTAAATTGGCATATATTTCTTAATTTCACACCGGTAAAGTCTTGGGTAACAGCTAGTGCAATACACAAAAGCTACATAACCCACTATTAATGGTAGACAATCAAGTTTTTTTCATGGATTCTTGCGAAATTATTTAAACTATTTTACTTATGTTTTATAGGTACGTGTTTTTATATCCGCATTTGATTTTCCCACAGTCATAAAACAATCATAAAACTGCCTAAATTGTCGCTCAGCGTACGTTTTATTGGCGTCAAAACGATATTTAATGTGGTAAATATCGCTAAATTTGTTCTCAAGTTATATGTATGAAAATATTGCGAAGTATAAAAAAATGATGTAATTCACTTATCTATGCATATTAATAAACTTTTTCTTCAGTTTAAGCGGAAAGCCTGTACAAATCATTTAAACAATTAATTACTTTACAATATACCCATAAAATATGCAAATTGGTATAACACGAGCGTCATGTAAACATTAAATCATAATACCGAAGCGCTTGTTAACAGAATATCCAATGCCTATGAGATTACAATAAACCAATAACGGCCTAATACTAAAACGACATTTAAATATGCAATAGCGTTTAATTAAATTACAAATAACAACGAAAAGTCTCTTGACACCAACTTGATACTTTACTGACATTTAGGTTAATATGTTTCCATTGTAAAAACAATAAA